GACACAAGCCCGCCAATAATAGTGGGCTCCTATATCCAAATTCTCTTGAGCACGAAGAACATTTGAGGGAACAATTAGGCGTGAGTTTCAGAACCTGATATACCTAAAGAGCTCCTTGAATGAAATTTAAAAAATCGAACTTTCACCAATACTGTAATCCGACCTCCCTGGTTCGACCAGAATTGCAGTCTCGTGCTCTTCTAACTGAGCTAAGGTCGGTTCCCACTCAGTTCTTCTCCCCATTACCTTATCCCATAACGCGCCAAAATATAGAGCGGGCGTAGCGCGGTGGTGATAGAGCTGCCCCACTGGCATCACTGATGGAAGAACCAATCAATTATACAACACATCACCATCACCATCACCATCACCATCATGATCGGCGAGCTCCCAGCGCAGCGCGCTGTTCCTCGTATGTATAAATGACTGTCGACTAACGCCCACTCCTTTCCACACCTTCGACCCATGGCGGAAACAGAACCCTACAAGAAAGTCGTCCTCGTCACCGGTGCGAATCAGGGTATCGGCTACGCACTAGTCAAGCTCTTAGCTGAACGTGGACATATTGTGTATCTTGGGGCGAGGAATAAGGAGTTGGGTGTTCAAGCTGCGTACGTTCTTCGTTTTGGCTGGGAAGGGGAAAGGCTAAGGTGGTTTTAGTAAACAACTCCAAGACGAGCATAGTCTGGACGTCCACTTTTTACACCTTGACGTGTTAGATGGGGAGTTGATAGCGGCTGCAAAGGATAAGATCGAAAAGGATCAAGGTCGTCTAGACGTTCTCGTAAACAACGCCGGTGCGTCTTTACCTCTTTACCTTCCTTCCTCAACTTCTTAACGACACCTCTAGCCGTCGCATGCCCCCTAATAAAACCATCCGAATCCAACCACGAAGAATACCGCAAAACATTCGACACAAACTTCTTCGCTATTGTGCACCTAACAACCACTCTCATCCCACTCATCCGTCTCTCCCCAACCGGTTACGGCGCCATCGTCAACATCACCTCTGGGCTCGGCTCGAACAGTGACCGTGCAGGTCCAGAAGCCAATCCCCTGTATTCCTATGCCAACGCATACGGCGCGTCGAAAGCCGCGTTGAATTCGTATACCATCTCTTTGGCGACGGATTTGAGGGAAGAGAGGATAAGGGTTAATTGTATCTGCCCGGGGTATGTGACGACGAAATTGAATGGGTTTAGGGAGGGTAGAACTCCGGAGAATGCGGCGGGATTGTTTTTGGAGTGGGTAGAGGTTGGGCCGGGGGATGATGATAAGACTTGTGAGTGGTTTGTTTCGCTTGGTTTGTGGTTGAGGTATTAATGGATTATGTTTATGATTATGATAGGTATGTTTTATAGTAATGGCAAGCAGAAGCAGTGGTAGAGTAGAGGGGAGTCGATTACAATTTACAAAGGTGTACTCTCGATAACGATGTTTTTGGATGCGACTTGGCGGATGTGGATTATGAGGTGGCTGGTTAGTATACAATGCAGGACACGCTGGAGGCTGGATTCCGAGGTTTAGTCAAGGTAAAGATAGTCGTTGAGGACTTACGGTCCTAATACGAGTGTGAACTCGGACTATCGCCTAACGTGTCAGCTTGGAGAGCTTTCCAACGAACTCCCGACTCACAGGTAGTGTTTTGATAATCACGATGTTCGCCGTGGAGAGAACTACAATGACGATTTAGAGGTTTACGTTGAAAAGGGGAACGTGGCGTAAACTCACGTAGCATAAGCATGAAATATAACGCTCCGTCCTGATATATAACCCTCAAGAGATTCGGTAGACCTCCTTCTCTATCTTGTATATACCAATGTCAGCTAAGAAGCCACTTCGAATGGATGTACGAGGAACTTACAAGCCCAAAATGCTGGTATGAGCATGAGAACCGTCGCACCTATACCAGTAAGTAAAGGATTGTAGTGACGAGTCAAGAACTCACTTGTATCATAAATCAACCAAGTAATCCAAATCGTATACACTTCATCTCCATCGATGATGAAACATCCCCTAAAGTTCGGGATGGGCAGGATGGCGACTATGAGAGGAGTTAATGAGCGATGCGTTTGGATAGGAAGGACCAACATCTCAAAGACTTGGATATCCGATCTAGGGTGACGAAATGCGGAATCAAAGTTCCTACGACAAGAATGACGACGATTGCGCGGATGCGTGGGCTGTTCATCCATACGCACCATATACGGACGCTTGAGACGACTAGGGGAGTGGTGGTGAGTGACTTTCATTGGTTTGATTGGAAAGGAGAAGTAGGCGTACTGTTGGATAATGCAACGCCTACTGTCGAAGTGACTGGTGAATACAATCAGATGAAGTGAAATGATAACGTATGAGAGAGCGTACACATCAACGCCCGATGTCCATAATAACATTCCTTTTCACTCAACCCCGGTGCGAAACGAACTGTCGATTCAGAGTTAGTAGCCGATATTCGATCAGGAAAGGCACCAACTCACAGATGATTAACAAAAAGAAGCAATCCACAAACGGTAGAAACCGCTGTATGAGATACAGTGCTTTGAATAACGTCCATGGTGATTTCCAGATGTATTGGATTTCGAGGGAGAGCCGGAGGATGAAGTCGTATGGAAGGAGGAAGATGACTGAGACTGTTGGGGTGATATGATTGAGTCGGAGATGGGGTGATGGGTCAAATGGGGAACATACCGGCCCAGTACTTGACAAAGATTGATGTCAGTGATGGTATTAGATATGGTGTATGAGATAGTGATGCTCACAGAGATATCTCGTTCATGTTGAAGAGCTGGGAGTAGCTCTGGAGGTGTACTCATGGTGGAGAGAAGGAGAGCCAAGAGTCGTGGACATTGATAGGATCAGGTGTCGTGTAGATTGCGATTGATGATGATCAGCGGAATGATGAGAAACGTATCGGTGATGTCGGCAGGTAGACATGCGGTCGGCGGTGGTGTCAAGTTGAATTAACTCAAATATTTGCTGGCAATCGCCGACTATTGAATGAATGACCGCCGTATCACAGCCTTGCAACTCAATTTATGGGTGCTCAGATGATTGATGAGTTTCATGACTTGGGCGTGACGCTGCAGTAAAGATTGACGCTCCGCTCTTTAAAAACTAGATCCACAAGTTACCTGCGGTTCAAAGACAGACGGAAGCGGAAAGATGATGGCTGTGGTGAAAGAGTGAGGTTGGAGATTGATTGATATTGATTGCGTGCGGCGGAATGTGTAACTTGTAAGCCTAAAAAGGTCCATAGAAGAGTCCAAACGACCTGCCCCAGTGAGGCTCGAACTCACGACCTTCCGATATTAGATGTACCGAATGCTTCATTCATAACAGTCGGACGCTGTAACCAACTCAGCCATGGGGCATGTCCGTGGTTGGCTTCTACAATAGGTATGATCGCTCCGATGACGTGGGGCAATGACTTGGCTTCTTTTTCGGCTCCGGAGCGCTCTTTTTTGTTGTTCACCTCCATCTACTCTCTCCTCAGCCATTATGCCAGGATCCCTAAGTCGTTCATATGCCCTTCCAATCTGACTCGAGCTAACAAATTCATCTTATCAGTGCTCACTACCGTCGGGAGAAATGTCGGAGAGACCCTTTCACGATATGTACGTCTAGCGTGTATCTTCCTCTGCCGCCTGGAACTCATATCTTTTATCTCCTCCAAGGAGTTTTCCTCAGGCCCATAGATATCACTACACACCAGAAACCGACTACTCAATAACCTCTTCTGCATCCAATCAATCGCTCCTTCGACTTGCTATATTCTGCCAATCGTTTGCTATATCGATCTCCTCCAACAACTCTGCGGCCTTCATTTCCGCCTACTGCGACTTGAAAGCTACCTCCCCTTAGGTACTTCAACTGCGATTCATATGATACACCGTTACCGATACATTCAGCAAGCTTTTGCGACATTGATCCCCTGCCGGAGTAAGCTGGAGATGAGCAGAAGGAAACAGAGGAAGAATGAACAAAACACGGTCTATTTCAACAGGTACGTCTCATCTGACTCTTTTACTACCTCGATCTCATCATTACAGCTTTACTAGCCTCTATCGAACATGCATCAAGATCAACACGGTTGCCTACCATCCCAAGCCAACCTCCCTTTGCATTTCCTGCCAACTCGGTGGGATGTTCTCTACTTCTTGTGCCCACGTTTACGCTTTGGGGTAAACACTCGGCGACTTTCTGGGTTACGTCAGCTACCTTCTACGACCGACCTCAATCCATTCCTCATCATACAACGAGCGCACACATGTAACAAGGGGAGACCGTTGAACTGGGAGAAAAGGTGATCCAATTACGTCCCCACACAACCTACCGTCGGAGTCAACCACGAGCTGAAATCCTCTCCTTTCCCAACATCCCATGTCCACACCCCCACATTCCCGGAACCAGGTGTCAGCACCCAACGAACGCACGCTTGGGACGAACAGAGAAGCAAAACGTTAGACTTGGGGCATAGTGATCGACAGTACGTCTTACTTAGTCTATTGTCATGACACCCGACGAGCTGAAATGCTTTTCCTTCCCAACACCCAGATTCACACCCACACCCCAAGTTGCTCCCTACTTCCGTTTTCGACTCCCTCGGTTCAGGGTAGCGTCAACTCGGGGGTGTGGGCAAGGTCTGTTGCATGGACGTCAATCCGTATCCTCCACAGCACATGATAGAGTATACCTCGTCTTTCCCTCAAGCATGGAACCGGGGATAGAAGGGCGTTGGGAGGTCACGAGGGGGAAAAGATTCGGTGAGTCGTCTCACGCCCATCAGTACCTCACTGAAAGGTAACCTGCTAGAGCCCGCCTAGCTCAATCGGATAGAGCGTCAGACTCTTATTTGTGTTCCTCCCTAATTTGATCTGAAGGCTGCGAGTTCGACCCTCGCGGTGGGCTACTTCTGTGGATCGATCCATCACATTTTTGTCGAAATTCAATTGCTTATCCACAAGAACCTATTCATTCCCTGTAACACGTGTCCACATGTGCCCGTAACTCAGTGGTAGAGTGTGAGATTGCAATCGCCCGAATCTCTATTCCAGAGGCGTAATCTCGAAGCCGCGTGTTCGAACCACGCCGGGCACTTTGATCGAGGGAAGAATTTTTTTCGTTCGCCCAAGTGTATTTTCACGCGCCAGGGGTGAACGGGGAGGAGGAAGGGTATGTTCCCCCTTAGCTCAGGGGTAGAGCGCTTCACTCGTATGACTTTTGTAGAAGAAGATCGAATGATGAAGAGGTCAGTCGTTCAAATCGGCTAGGGGGAAGTGTTCGATTTATGCCTCTGGTCTTTTTTTTTTTGCTTCCCCACTGTAAGGTGAGGTAAGTGCCGAGTGTGCATCGTCTTCCGTACCCTTTCTCGTTCTACTCTCATCGGAGGTTGCGCTAAAAATTGATCGTTCTCGTCACACTCTAATCGTTCATTCAGGTCATTAGCTCTGCATACCAAACCTAGACTCTAGAGCTCTAGGGTCCAAGCGCAATCGCATTTCTTTTTTGGCGGTGATCTTCCAAAGGTTTCAGGATCGTGAGTGAGATTATCCAACTCCACGAAGATCCCATTTCAAGCTTTCAAGGCTTGAACCACGAATGAGAAATCGACGGCTCTTTCTGGTGGCGAAAAAAAAGCGTATAAGTACAGCCAAATCAGCTGCCCCAGTGAGGCTCGAACTCACGACCTTCCGATTGCTAATACTGTCCTGGCTGCATAACAGTCGGACGCTGTAACCAACTCAGCCATGGGGCATGTTACCGGCGTGTGTACAGTGTACTCCACAGAGGATACGTTTTCTACAATCCTGTATTAGCTCCCCAGAATGCGGACCTAATCTGAACACACGAAGTACTAGTTATTCAGTTATCAACCCACTGAACGTCCAACAACCGACTCGACCTTCTACAGTATGAGAGTGGAACAAGCGGTTCATGGCACATCGTTCATAACCTGCCGAAAGCACTTCCAAAGCATCGAGGTCACTGAACATGTCCTCGTTGACTCGATACGTGGTATCCTACTGGCAGACAATGTTCTTCAACGTGCCTCCTATGTCCTCGGTGAATGTGTGATTCGAGTTGTGTGAGTACTGGTAAATTCATGCTCTAACGGCACCTGGTAGATGTAGTACAGTACGAGGGAATGTACGTCCTTCTTAACGGTGGCGCAAAGCTACACCAGTCAGCGTCATCCACGAGCTGTATAATCTGGATTTTCACAGTCCGAATGAGAAAGTAGAGAGTACGGAAGACGGAAAAAGTGGATACCTAGCTAAAGAAGGATCCATTGGACGAGGACGAAGATGTAGGGAATGAATTGCTGTAAATAATCAGATCATTAAGAGATTAATCTGTTCTAATGCGGGCACGGAACTGGGCATCGAGGGATTAAAGGGGATTAATCTCAGGCGACCGGATTATTGTCCGATTAACCTCATCGTCGGACGTGCGATCACCGTTGGTGTAATTGCATCAGTTGTGATTAATCTCATTCCAATACTATGTATTGCAATTCTTAATAGGATTGTGACAGGTTCTTCTGTACAGATTAATCCTATCAAAGGATATTCCTGCTATACCATGGGTCAGCAGCATATCTCTCACACGACTCCCAATCCAGATGATTACGGCTGTCCCGGGAGGCTTTGTATTTTTCCCTGAATAGAGCCTGCTGGAGATTGAGAACTAATAGCATAGAAGTCTAATGGCGAGATCCACTCACGTATGCATAGAACACCTCCGGATATGATTTCATACATTGCAGGGCCGTCAAAAGTGGAAGATCCATAGTCGAACGGACTATCTCATCCATCCCTTTCAAATCGGAATGGGTGGCCTTGTATGGTATGACACGGATGGCGTTGTCACTCGACAGTTTTGCGTAGTAACTATATGATTGTTATCATCAACACCCCTAGGTAGTGGAAAAGTGAGGAAAGCTACATACTTGATCGCCTCTCTAGCCGCCATAGCAGCGAAATGGTTGCCGTACTTCTCCGCTGCTGCAGCCAGATCGAGAACGAGGTCCAATCCCTTTCCGCAAAGGTCTTCGTGCTCTTGGTAGTGTGAGAATTGTAGAAGAAGTACCAAAACTGTGTTCTTCTCGGATAATTTGACAACGTCGTTGGTGTCGTGTGTTACAGAGGTGGTTAGGGGAAAGGCCGTGTTGAACATCTCCAGGTTTTTGGTATGAGCACCGAGACGATTCCCGTCGGATGATTCGATGATCAGATCGATAGGGATGGAGCAGCCGTCAACTGGTGAGAGATAGTCAAGCTTTGAACAATTCTTGATATTCGGCGGTTTTATTCACCTGGACAAGCCGCATCGACGGACGTAGCAGACACAGAAGTAGAGGTAGCAGACATGGTGGGCAATGGTCAAATCGATTCTGGGGAGACAGTAATTTGTGGCCGCGTTATCTTCACGGCGCAGCCTGTATGCCTCGTGCTGAACTCAAAATGCTGCGCTTTGGTCAGATGAGTGAGTTTGTCGGACCCACATTCGATATGGTCCGTCTTAATGTCGCCAATGCTGTTTCCCCATCAAAGTGTGTTTTGATACGCATACATCTCATGTTAAGAAGCCTTTCTCAAGTTTCACGATGTGTTGTGTTGAGCCGGAGCCGCAACTCAAACTGTTCCCCACCTATGAGAATTGCGCAATACCACCCCGCTACTCAATCCGTTGTTGCCGATAATATGTTATAGTTAGTAACGATTGCGAATGCCGTTCTTCGCAAGGGTAAAGCATCTCATTTTGTGTATTCCCGAAGATCGTCGATTGCTACCCGGTGCGTAGTCTACAACTCTTGATCTTTCAAAGCTGACATATATTACATTGGCAGGCATTGAACCAGAGTTCAACTGACACTCAAGATAGAATATTTCAATATCACGCGAAATATGGAACTGCCTTACGCATTCCGGCTCTTCATGATGCCTCATACCTCTGTTTAACTCGGCAATGAATTCTTCCTACCTCAGACAAAGGACTTGAAGTTCGTTTCACTCGCTCCTCCTGGTCGCTGGATTGTGTTCGCAGAAAGTTGATAGGGCACGGTGGCCTTCGACGCATATAGAGCGTAATGGGCTTCCGTTTTGGTGTTCTATAGATGCGAACTTGTCTTTTTCCCCCTTTCAGGTACACCAATTCCAGGACTAAAGGCGAAGGGTTTCTGGAGCTGTTTAGTATACGCTGCAGGTGCCTGGCTCTCTCTATTCTGAATTCGAGCCCACGCCCGATTGCACTCTCTTCACTAGTTGTATCCACCAAGCCCGTCCAAATAGTAATCTGAGCAGTCCACTTTTCCCTATAGAGAACCTACGTGACATACTTAGCGTGTCGCAACTCAATTCCTACCTGAGCCACTCACGTAGAAGTAAACCACCTCCGGGTAGGATCCGAATACCTTCAAAACTGTAGCCATCGGAAGGTTCATCGTCAAACGAACAATCTCATCCATTTCGGTTAACTCTGGGTGCGTAGCCTTGTAGGGTATAATACCGAGAGCGTTCTCTGGAGACTGTTTTCCCAGGAAACTTTGACGCGCGATATGAATACACGGCCTGTAAAGATGAACGGGAACAATACTGACTTCATCGCATACCATGCTTAACTCAGAATGCTGCGCTTTCGTCAGCTGAGAGAGTTTATTGGATCAACATTAGATGCGATCCGCCTTAAGGTCGCGAGGAATTTATTTTCATATCACAACGGTGTAAGTGTTTTGTACGCATAAATCTCACATTCCGAACCTTATCTGTTGAATCGCACCCAATAACGTCACATTTATGCTCGACCAATCTTGTTGACGATGTTCACGCATTCCATCCAAGACGTGTTTATCCTCCACTTCTCTTTTCTCTCTTTATAGATGACCTGAGGTACGATTGAGTACTACACTTAGAGGATATAAGTCTCACTCACGTAGGTGTAGAATACATCTGGATACGGCTTCATGGCCTCGAGCACCGTTGAAATCTGAAAGTCAATGGTTGAACGAACCATCGCGTCTATTTCCCTCAAATCGCCGTGAATTGCCTTGTATGGTATGATGCGCAGCGCATTTAGAGGGTCTTCTCTTCCCATGTAACTAACGCAATAGATCGAAAGATGACCATGAGGCAAGCAGAAATGAACATACTTCAACGCATCTCTAGCCGCTGTTCCTGCGAAAAAGTTCCCGTACTTGTCCGCTGCCGTCGCTAGATCTAGAACGATATCCAGCCCTTTCCCAGAAATCTCCTTGTGGTCCTGATAGTGGGAGAATTGGAGGAGCAAAGCCAATACATCCTGGTTCTCGGATAACCTAATGGCATGTGTAGTGGAGGATGTAGGGAAAGAGGTGTTGAACGTCTCGAGGTTTTTCTTATGGGCTCCGAAGTGTTCCCCATCGGAGGATTCGATAACCAGATCAATAGGAATGGAGCAATCAGAAACTAATTGCGGTTGATCAGTATTTGGCTTGGATCATCCAAGGCGCAGAGTACCTGGACAACGAGCGTCGTTCGAAATGCAAGGAGTAGCCGACATGGTGGTAAGAGGATGAGATGTATAATGGGGTTACAGCTCGAGTAGTCTGCCATGTCTATGTCGTAAGTCGAAACATGCCCATGCTTCATGTCGAGCTTAAATAACTATGCTTTGATCAGCTGAGTGAGGTTATTCAGATTAGTCGTAAATATGGGAAGTAGCTGGTACACAGGTCCACGAGCGCGCTACCAAGTAGACAAGTGAGCAGGTGGCCTCGACATCGAAGTGAGTCAGAAGCTCTCGAGTCTTTGATGATGGCTGGACTCACTATATCAGTCGTCTTCTGTCTCCGAGTCAGATTCCTCCGTCTCATATCGGTATTCCTCGTCTGAATTAAGCCCTATGACAGGCATAGTCTCAGACCAAACTGTTACCCACAGCTTTAGCACTAAACCCTTCGACCGTAAAGCCCTAAAATCGTCCAGATAAGATTCGATCTCATCCTCTTCATCGAGCCTAATAATCGCAGACCCAAATCGGCTTCCCGGTGTCTCCATCCGACCTTTGAGCATCTCAATAACCAGATACAGGTAATATGTCTCTGGAATGTGAAAATCAATGTGCCGGAGACCTGGTAGCTGGAACGAGGAAAGCATCTCTATTAAACCATTAGTCACATTTGAAGAGTCGAAAAATCCGTGTCTTGCCTTCTTCCAATATCTCTTGCTCAGTAATCACTTTTGAAGAGTCGAGGGACTCAAGGAAGGACATTTGCGTTATGTAGCATCGGGCCCTGTTCTGGCTAAAGAGGCCCCTTGGAAGCTCGCGAATCAACAATTCCTGTATGCCAGGCATGTGCTGAAGAATCAGATGCATACTTTCCTGATGAATGGGAATCTGAATGGAATGAAACAGACGGATGGGAGGAGAAGAGGACCGGGAAAGAAATTCTATCACACCTTTCTCAAGCACTGAAGGAAGAGTAGACTCGACCTTCATTTCTCGAGTTGTGGCGTCTGAGCGATGAAACTCGTGGGCAGCTCATGCTGTATAGAATCCTGTACATCGGTAGGAATGGAAGCTCGTGATACGTTCGTTGAACACCATGAATGCGTATGGTGAGTTCGTGAAGATATGGAAGGGGATAAAGCGGGTACATTCGTCTTGATTCCGATTCAGATCTAACACTCTTCGTCGGATCGTCATCGTCGCAATTGGCATCCTGCCGGGTGTTCTGAGCAGGTATCATTAGCTCCAGACGTTCCAGGTTTCCACATCGCGCGATAAACGCCAATGCAACATGGAGCGTGTTGTGTAGATAGAGGCGGGTAATTTGTGTGAATGGGAAAGCAGTCGATGGGGGCCAGGAATAGGAAAGAAAACGATTTGAAGAGTGGACTGAAAGGGAGTCAAGCGTGGGAGGCCACTTCTCCATCACGTTCAGCACTATTGTGGCCTGTTCCATTCGGTACCTGTTTCTACCTGCAGAAAGCGCAATTCGATCATTTGTTGTTTGAAGTCCTGAAAAAGCGAGTGATGTTGTCGTTGGATAATTTGGGCGCATGAAACCTGAGTGATGACCATTGACCAAAGCTTGCAAGGATATCGAGGATCTGTGGACGGGGCCTACCATTGGGCACGGAGTACTGCTGGCATTCGATTTTTACGTGGAGCTTTGCCGCTTTTGAGCGCTCTACGTGGGATTCAAGATTCTTGATGGTGGAAGGCGAATATGTTCCCATAGGATCGAGAAGAAGTGATATATCTGCCCATATCTCCGGTGACGACAACGCAACCCTTCGCCAATGGACACAAACCAAAAGGAAGGCCGGTGTGCTCGGTTTGCGGTGTAATGAGCTCGTGGTAAAAACACTTGTGTTCTTTGACAGCAGGAATATGTGGGATAGTACTTCGGGGGGGGGGATCTTTCGGATCGGGGAGAAGAGCGACTGATACTCCGTGATGTCGTATTCGACCCGTGTCAGAGATTGTTGTAGATTTTCAATCTTTGCTCGCAGTATTTCTGCGTAATCGTGTGCCGACAGGATAAGCTGCTTGTAGTGAGCTAATTCTGTCGCAGCTACGAGCTGTCCCGTACGAAGCAACTCCATGGGGCTGCGAATAGGCTCCAAGTTGAGGCTGTAAGATACTCTTTGGTGGACGGAAAACGTTTACAGAAAATAAAACGCACGATTCAGTTCCAGCAAAGACATTCTTCCAGACAAATTTCGAGCTTCTTGTATCCTATCGATGATGGAAAGAAGGGAAGAAGCCGATAAATCGATAACAGGCCATCGAAACATCACGTGCTACGAGTTGCGCACAGGCCATCTCATTTCTTGACCTCATGAACAACGAGCTACTTATTTTACTAGCTGTTGATACCAGGTATCAAAGTAGTGGATCTGGTTTACAGTTTGAATACTGTAGGACGGTACCGAACCCCGAGTTCAAGGAACACACGTCCTAACAAAATTCGAATATCCGGTAGATTGTTTCTACATGCAACAGCATATCCCCCTTAGCTCAGTGGTAGAGCGCTTCACTAGTAGGCAATCAACCTTGCATCATGAAGAGGTCAGTCGTTCAAGTCGGCTAGGGGGAATGATTTGACGTCGATGTTATTTTGCCTTTCCTCCATTTCCACTGTGCGTGGCTCAGTTGCTTGTCATTGCAGTCCAATACGATTGAACTGATGGCCTTTGTCACTGGAACCTGTAAGAGCATCACAGAGAGAACCTCCGAGGAAAACAAAAAGGTCGGAACCAACCCAGAAGGTTCGATACAGTTTTGAACTTGAGACCTTCTGTACGTAGATTGTACGAAACCGACATTAGACAGATGGAACAGCTAGCTATACCATCGAACCAAGCTCATTAAAGAACCTCTCGAGTCGAAAGATTGACATGCTCGTGTCCAGATCTGCGTAAGTTCTAATTAGGTGCTAAGAAGACGAACAAATTGGGCGAGTATTTGTTCCTGTGACCATGTTCGTATTTGACTCATGATGGGGGGAAATGATGGGACCCAGAGGATGTAGATCTTTCCATTCGAGACGACGAAGATTCTTTAAAAAGTGGTTGATACTGACAAATACACCACTCACGAGTATGAGCATTGAGGCCATTCCTCAAGCCTCAGTGACCAAGTGCATTCTTCCTGACTTTGTTGGTCATATTAGCTATGGTGGAGCAGCAACTGAGAGCAAAACTTGAGAAATGCTTGAAGTGTCCAAGGAAATGTAGGTTCTGATTCCCCAATCCGGATGAGATGGGAACGAGGTCGTTGAGAGCCGCGGCGAACCAGGGTGTCTGGGGTCCTGATCGCGGCGGTCCGTTCCGGTGATGACGTACTTTTGTGGTTTTCTCGACTGTTTTTGCTCTTGACTACCGCCCCGCTCGCTAGCTTGTCGCTGGCTCCTCGCAATGCTACACAAAAATTATCGGTCAATCGTTCGTTTACTTATACTACCATGCCGGAGTCTTGGAGCAAGAGAAGCACATGCCACCCGTTTCAAACTTCTATGGAATCGCTACGATGATTGTGCGCAGGATGCTTAGAGATACGGATAGTAACTGTACGTGTCCTTATACTCCTACAATTAAGAGACTAACTATTCCTTCCAGCACACGTTCCCCCCTCCTAGGACATCGACACGTTTCTCCCAGTTCATATCGATCAGCATAATGCCCACCCCGATTGTCTTTCTCCCGCTGGTTTCCAGACCACTTCTTCACGCACCTAGTTGTCCGTTTCTCTCTCTTTCCCTGCAGATGAGAAAGGTGTCAAAGAGCATTTGAAAACAGGAAGGAGATCGGATACACCTTATGACCGCCTGGTGCGTCGTTCAATTTCCTCTCGTTTGTGCAATATACTGATATCTGTAGTAACACTATAGGTTCTACTGGAATAGAACTTCGAAATCGTTCCGCAAACACCTATATTTGCGCAATAATGGGTGGGTGCTGGCCCATTCCTATTCCTTTGAACATCAATCGACGTCTAATGCCCTTTCAAGTTTGGAATTACTTGATCGCGGAATGACCCCAGCCTTGACTTTCTTCTCTTCCCAACTTCCTCTGTATCGTGCCAGCGGAGTGCTTTTCTGTATCATCTACTCAGTGTACTTGAATCTGCCTATGCACCAACAAATCGGCTCGTTTCGATACCATGTCCAAATTCATGCGCCATCGTAGCTCGAGAAGTATGCAAGGGCGTTGGGATAGTGTAAGAGGCGTCAGTGTAAAAATTGTGATACCCCACTGCTCCTCCAACCCCAACTTCGGAGTTTTGATTTGTGAAGGCACGGTTGGGCACGGTGTGTCCTGTACACGATTCGACTTCTCACTCTGATCTCACGAGACGTCCAGTGACTTTGGATTGGCTCAAGGACACAATTTACCCTAATCTTTGACGTAGGTGACAGCGATCTTGTGAGAGTACAACAGTACAACATCAATCAATCCATTTGCCAGTCTTTGAATGACATCTTAGAGCTCCACAGACCGCAAAACTCAATGCTAACTCGCGTTCCCGATCGTTGAAGAGTGCTTAACATACCTCCTTCACACTCGAGAACCACTACGCAAAGTAATAGACATTGAGTGCCTTCTCTATCAGTTCATTCACTTGTGTTCTGGCGCCATTGAATGCGGAGGCGGTCTTCTTCGACGCTATGACTTCATCTTTCGTCTCGAGAGTTAATTAGGTTGCGAGTTCATGTCAAATAGAGATTCTCCGTGGCCTATGCCATGTCGCCAATACTGACATGTTGCATTTGTGGCCCTACCAAGTTATTGTCCTACCATTTGAGGTAAGTAATACTGCCACCATTACGTTGCCTAATTGGGTGGACAATGATATCGGGGATTGGTATATAAATATAAAGCTTACTCAAGGAAGCAGCACATCTTTTCCCCTCCAAAATGGCGAACCCAACCGATGCAAGTGATTTAAAATTCCTCTCATTTCGCATATAGCTGATTTGCCTTCCGCTGTACTTAGATCATTATCTGTGGTGTCAATGCGTTGGCAACTGAAACTTTGCAGCAAATCTTCCTGTATTGTCTCGATGACGAAGACGACGACACACTCATCTTTTTTACCTGCGGGTGGAAACTTGGACACGTTAGTCGTCGATGGCGAGACATCATCGCCAATACCCCAGCCTTTTGGACGACTATCAATCTCTCTCAGGAGCTGATCAATCGGAGAAAGGCCACCATCAGCAAATACGAGTTTCAGCTCACAGAGGTCCTCGCTTGCGTTAGAAAACGTACTAAGGAGCATCCTGTCAGTATTGGACTTTCCCTTGATTCGGAGCACTATTCACTACCGAGGTGGAAGATTCTCCTCCTTACCCTGTTCGAGGTCTTCGATCCAAAGCTGTGGCGCTCGCTTAGTTTAACTGTTAGTGCTGGGCAGATCGACGACTTTCATTGGGTGGACCACGATCCTTTCGTCAACCTCGAAACGTTGGATATTGATTTCTTCGAGGATGACGACGGAAACGATGTTGTGAATCCCCATCTCGACATAGAGAGGTTTCTCTCCTTCATAGGTTCTGTGCCCAGATTGAAGCAGTTGGAGGTTCTCGCCGCACCGGAAATCATTCAGTTGACGGTTCCTTGGGGTTCCTTGACGTATTTCTCGGCCTCTAATTTGTCCAGATTGACACCCAATTTCCTCAGTGGCATGGCGAACCTCGAGTGGCTGGAACTCCTCGGCGAGTTACCCACCTGGAATGGCGAACAATCTCCCAACCTATCGCGCCTCCACACTCTTAGACTCTGCAGCGGTTTAACGAACAGTTTAACACTCCCCTCGCTTCGACACCTATCCATTCAAACTCCCGACATCTTCGCCCTGAGAAACTCTTCCCTTCAACGCTGGCTACCTCAGATCCAAACTCTGGAGTTGGTCAACGTCCCACCAATCGATGGAACTATCTTGAGCGTCCTGGAGATGCTTGATAGTGTCGAGATGCTCAAAATCCATGGATTTGTTGGTACTCAGGTTCTGAATGCATTGAAAGCTCGAACCTTCCTTCCGAAGCTTCAGAATATGGACCTGGTACTCTCGCCTTTGTGTCCCACTGGTCTGTATCCAGACATTAAGCAGCTACGCGGGCTGCAGGGAACATTCACAGTGGAAAGGATTTGGCCTTCGGGCTGGGGTCCAGCTGAAGATAAACCCGATACCAGTTTGGAGCAGTATTTGGATGTCTTTAGTGACTTATTCGATAAAATATACGTAAGGAATCACTCGGAGGGGCATTTGACAAGCATTGGATCACAGGTGAGTCTTGACAATTGCGATCATAGTATGCGGGTTATTGATCCTGGAATTAGAATGTCGTCCATCTTGGGGAATTGGTTGAAGGATTTGAATCAGTGTTCTCTATGGAGGTCGATCCTGCCCACTGGAAAGAAGATCAGCACTGCTCATTGATGGAGAGACTGGCGCGTTTCTTACGTCGTCGATCACGACCGCTGGCAGAGATCCATCATTCAGGAGAAGACAAAAATCTATTTTATCTGAGGTTTAGCGCGTTGTATCGCCACGGGCAAGTCCTTTCCAAACTAATACAGGAGGAAAGAGATCAACTGTTCTTAGAATATTCGGATGAAGGAAACGGAAGTATTACAACGAACACAGGTGGGATTCTAGGAGGGGATACCAATGAAGATGAAGATGATGACGAGAATGATCATGACTAAAATTAGAATCCAAAGCCCTGTAAACATATTCGAGTAACTATCTCTGCATACTTAAGCGCAAAGGGACATAATTGGGGTACTTCTGTATGGTATTAACAAAGGCACGCAATGCTATTTGTCAATTGAATTGGGATGACAACAAATGCCACTGTACTATGGACGATATGACGGAGGCGCTACACTCTCCGTCGGCGCGGGTCCAGCACTGTAGATCCCGATCTCCTGGGTAGTAATACCGTCTTGTTCACGGGGCGTATAAGTAGGCTCCCTTGCTGGAGTGATATGCCCATTCTTCACCGCGCGTTTTGTAGTCTGATGCATCGAGGGAGTTGCTGGTTCCGCCATATTTTCTTGGCCTTGGTGTAGTTGTAGCATGAATGGTCTTGGCGATAATGGGCCCGGCTCTTGCTCCTCTCCCAGCCTCTCCGACTTCTTCTGTCTTCGCCTCCAATAGATCAGTCCTAGCAATACAAAACCCAGCAACGCTAAACCTCCCAAAGTTCCGCCAACGATCGCACCTACCGGCTTTCTCCCCTTATCTCTTCCATTTCCACTTGTCGGGCTTGGCATTGCACCTGTTGTGGTAGTCATATAACTTGAGCTGGAAGCGGAGCTCGCGTTGGACCCCAGCATAGGAACGAATATACCAGCTAATAAAACTGCTGCTGCTGCGGTTTGATTGTACGGGTCTGGAGAAATGGAAGATGAAGATGGTCCGCTCCATTTTCCAGCGTAGATATTGCTATTGCTCACAGGAGAGGCGGCTAAGTCGTGTAGAGCGTTATACTGCTCCAATTTTAGCTCCAATTATATCAACATCCATGAGAACGACATACTTGCACACCAAGATAATGCCCAATATAGGATTTCAAGTCTCCAGAATCAA